TTGAGACACAGGAATCATAAGGAGAGATTCGATTCGGATTTAATACAATTTAATATTTTACTATTTAGATAGGCGAAAGAATAAAAGGCTTGGACAAAATCAAACGAAAAAACAAAACATATATTTGCTTCACCATATTTATTGAGCGTATTGAGATTCAGTTGACTAATATAATTTTTTCATACACTTCAATTGAGTATTTAATTATATTTATTGTAACTTAATCGACGTGTAAAATATTATATATAATATACATATATGTATGTATATATATAAATATATAATAATAATAATAATAATAATTTGATAAAGAAAAAGAAAGAAAAAATAATGGAAGCATACAATTAAAACAAACAATATAATAATAATCACAATAATAATAATAATAATAATAATGTATAAACTATTTGTATATAATTAATAATACTTATTATTGACGTAAATAAGGGGAAACATAATATAACATATAAATATATATACATATTTCATATAATATATATAATTATATAATAGTATATATATATTATTATCATAGTAATATTCAATATATCAATAATAATAATATATTATTATTATGTTATTTATGAACGCAAACGAATAACGGTCTTACAATAATAGACTACAAAAACTTAAAATAATAACAGTTTAATATAATATAATAATATTATTATTACCTAACGAGATTTAGAATATACGACGGTAGTTTCACATTTTTTACAAATTTTTTTCGTTTTTTTCGTTTTTTTTTTTTTATCTTTTCAAATAACAACGCGCTACCGTTTGCTGATTTAAACACTAAGGAAGTCAAATTGTATTATCGTTTAAAATGTGCGAATCACAATCTGAAAGTGCTTTTAAAAATATTTTCGTTAAATAATTATGTTAATGTCTAAACATACGTGATATCATAAGTAGTGTATTACATAATATTATATCGTATATAATAATACATAATAATAACAATGTACCGTTGTTAACAATACACATACAACTACGCGGGTACACATGTTATTATTATATAATATCAATATAAAGATGAACAAAAAAATATACATAAAATACGATTTGGGTTCGCGTGTAGTCACCCAGAAAGGGCGAAATCCAGGTCATATTGTATCATAAAATACGACACCGATGCCGACCCATTTTTTATTTAATTTGTTTTGATTTCGTTTTTAGTTGTTCGTTGTGTACCTACGATGTCTATAATATTATAGACGAAATGGATGCGGACTGGATCTTGAAAATCTATGGTGTTTTTTTGATGGCATGGTGATCTGTGGTTGGACTAGAGGGAGGATGACGTGACGGGGTGGTGGAGGTGGTACATTTTTTTAGAATTTATTGTTTCCGCAGACGATATTGAATTTTTTTCTACCGACCCCGACGGAAAATGTATTATTGTTATTATTAGGTACAGCCGACACACGCTTTCGATTTGGGTTAATCGCTGGTGTCCAGTGAAATACGAAGATCGGTAACCACACGATCATTTAGAATTTAAATTTTAGATACTGTGGTAAGTTATCGATCCTAATACGCTAAAACGGTCTTAAAACCCAAAACAAAAAGAGTTGAACATTATAATCGTATTTTACCTATAGATTATACCTAGCAAAATATTACGCACTTCCAACAGTATAAAATTGTGCGTTTCGTGTCGTTGACTGTCTGTCTTCTGTCGATATAATATCATATAATACCGTCGAATACGAACACTGTTAATACGTGTTCGGCCGACCCTAATACAATACAATATATTATATTATTAATATGCATAAAACGTCACATAAACACATTTTATATAATATTAATTAATTATGTAAAGTCGGTAGTGTATGCGCGCACACCACCTCGCGCACATACCACACGCATGCGCGTACAATATATATATAGTATATAAATACATAATATCATCATTACACATCATCATGTTGTATTATAGGTATATAGTTTTGTACACGCAGATATTATAATAATATCATAATATTAGTAATAATACATATATATATATATATATATAATTTGCGACTTATAAAAATAATTTTGAGAAATTAGAACGGCGACACCTAACCAAATAATAATAATATATTCAATATCGATTAATAAAAAAAAAAAATGTACCTTTACCACTAATTATTACAATACTCGTTTCGTTTCCACTTAATTTTACATATTATTATACCTTTACATGTTAAAATAATAATATATAGTTTTAGAACCTAAAATATGCCACTGGAACGATGAGCTAATCACTGGGCAACGCTATATATATATACATATACATATACATATATACACATATATATATATATATATATATAGATAGATAGATAGATAGATAATATGTATTATATAATACCCTAATCGTATAACAACTACTGTCAAGTATGTATTTTTATGTACAGATGGCATAATATACATAATAATTAATAATAAATATAATATTTAGATATATTTTTTTCAGTATAAAACACTACGAATAGTCGACTTTGTATAATATTATAATATAATAAATATTACATAAATTGCTTTAATCATCATAATTTCAGTCCTAACATTAACTTAACTTAATCATATTCATATAATAGAATTTTAGTACCTATTTTATAATAATAATAATAATAATTATAAACAGTCGCAGGTGCGTTTCGCGGCCATGGAAATACGATAAAACACATATCACATATATTTTAATATATATAATAATATGTACGTACATTTGCGTAAGTATACAGAGTCGTCAAAATAGCGCACGCAAACGGAAGTTAAACGAAAAACAGGAAATCGTTCGAATACGAGTGTCGTCTACAGTTCAGTAAATTTTCGTCGTATTTCATAACTTTATTATACTACAGGATGATGATTCACCTAGCATGCTCACCCCATTTATTATGTCGATTAATGCAGTTATTCAATATATGTTTTTTTTAGTTTTTAAAGTTTTTAAAGACCATAATATTTGGTACATAAATGTATATTTTCAAATTCTTGAGATTTTTTTAGAGATGAAACTTACAAACTAACAAATATACAAGGGTAACATGGTTTACGGTAAATGAACGTACATTTTATATTTCTATATTTTTTGTACCTACTACACAAGGAGTTTCCTGTGAAACTTCGGTTTTATTTAAATGCAAACCACTTTTAACATAATTTGCACTAAAATAATTTACAGTGCAAATTGATGGTTAATGGTTTTCACTTAAAAAAAAAAACAGAAATTTATATCTCATGCAGGTAAGATTACAGGATACTCCTTGAGTATTATAAACAATTTTAAGAATTTTAAGATATTATTATCTCTAAGTAAATGTATGATATAGTAACCAATATCTTAAACAATAACATAATTACTAAGGCTACATGGTTTACGGTAAATGTACATACATTTTATGTTTCTAAATTTTTTTTAATTACTACTCATGAGTCTCAATGAGAAACTCCTTAAGTATTATAAACAATTTAAGAATTTGAAGATATCGTGTCTAAGTAAATTAAAAAATTAAAAAATCAGTTATTGAATAGATATATTAGTCAAAGACATAATATAATGAGGAGTAGCTCTGAGCATGCTTGGTGGCTGGTGAAATCATCTCGTATATAATATACAGCAGAGGCCTATACGACGATGTACCTATGGTTACAACTTACATTACATTATTTTATACTATTTATTGAGTGAGAGGTTTTCGTCGAGTTGCGAATCAAAAGCGAATTTATCGGAATGAAGTGCAAATGTGAATATTTCTGTTCTTTGCGTTCGATTTCGAAAATGTCGTTTTGTCGATGATATTTTCGTACGAGCAATATAATTTACATATACGTTATTGTACATATTATTGCATACATATATGTATATATTATATATAACCGTTATTTATTATGTACTGTGAGCTAATATATTGGTTTAAATAGTTGTTGAAAACGTTATAAGGTATTGTCATCTATAAATATAAATATTTAATTTGCACAAATTTTAATAACACATAATATTATATTTTAATGTTGTTATCATCAAGCTTTTGGAAAAATAACGTTAATCGGTGAATTATATTTTGCCCGTGACATTTTAGTTATCGATTTCAGTATAATATAACATTATTATCGCATGATAATATTATTCATATCAGTCTCCGTTTTGTGCATTTCCGGCGTCGGCGAACACGACGTAATATTATTATAATATTATTGCTTTCGCGTTACAATTTTATTGTTTATTGCTCATCGGCGTAATAATTATTGCTATCGTTTTTTTTTGCGGATTTCGTTGCTTCGGGACAACTTTGATTTTGTACTGCGTGAATTATCATAAATAATATTATCATTTTTCTGGACGTTTGGCGAGAGATTAATTTATTTCACTCGACGAGCTGGTTATCGCCTTGGAGGTACACCTACCCGGCTTACCATCGTGATAATCTCATATTATATAATAATATTATTATACTTTGATCGACAATTTTGAAAACGCGATGAACAAACGCTACGCCCTCAACGTCCATCGCTTGCGTATATTAGTGCAATCATTGTCACGCGATCGACACATCGCTCAACACAGTAATTATTATAATATGTTAATAATTGTTATTCCGATTTAGTTCATAATAATAATAATAATTAATATCATATTATTATTATAACGTAGTCTAGTCCTACGCGTATGAGAATCTGTGAAAAACCCTGCAGGTGTTAGATCGATCCTGTCTATTGACTTATATCATAATATACATATCATAGAGAATATACTGTCGTACGTAGTACAACAAAATGTAATAATAATAATAATTTATAATAATAATAATTGCGTTAACACTACTAAATATCGTATAATATATATATATATATATATATATATAAATCTTACGGAATTTGTATTTCTTTGAGCTCTTATCACCACCACTAAGTCTAAGTGTACAATATAGATTATTTAATCGCATGTAAGTAGTATATTATATATATGGGTGTGTAGGTATGTAACACTGTAACCGATGAGTTCAGTCCGCCCCCAGCAGTACCAGATCGTCAGCCACCACGTCGCTGATGTGCAAGTATATGATCCAGTACATGAGGTTAAAGCAGATGAAGCACACCGGAAACACGATCCTCGAGTACTTGTCGATGTCGCTGGGCGTGATGCCGTACAGCTTGTTGATGTCCTTGTTGGGGTGCATGACGTGCTGCGTGGGGATAGGCGTGATGTTATCGTCGTCCCCGCGGCCGTTGATGGTGTTCTCCAGCGAACCCCCTTTGAGGTAGTTTTTCGGATCGTGGGCCTTGAATCGCACCTCCTGGAACAAACGGGAATCACTTACAAGGGGCACCGCAACCTATATCTTAATCGGGGACTCTATTATTTGAAAGCAGAACATCGAGTTTTACTGAAGTCATATGTTTCGCTCTTAAGTCTTAGAAAGAAATTGTACTGCCAATATTAACCACAAATTTAACAATGTGTTAGCTTATATTTTTTATTCGTTGAACCGTGCGTAAAAAGTCACAAAAAATTCCAAAAAGTGGGTCTTGTCGGGTATTTTTAAGTTTTCACGAAATATTTGGGGGGTAAATATTTGCGACGCTCACGGTTTGTCGGGGCGTGTGGTCCAAGTCTTGGGCCATCAGTGATCCAGACAACGTGCCTCCGTGACCCATGTGACTGTGCCGGTGACCGCCTCCACCACCGTCGTAACCATGACTGGACATGGTGCCGTGTGACGCCAGTCCATGGCTGGACATACCGTGGGGGAGCGTGCCGTGGCCGGACTGGGGCCCATGGCCACCAGACAGTGTGCCGTGTCCGGACAGGGTGCTATGGCCAGATATAGATCCATGGCCGTGACCGTGACGTGACGTGTGGTGGGGGTGCGGGTGCGAGTGGCCGTCGTGGGCGGAGTGACCACCGGCGCCTCCTCCTCCGCCGCCGCCTTTCTTCTGTTCGGCAATCTTTTGAATGGCCAAGAAACGGTTCTTCCGCATCTGTATCCTTTTGGCCATATATCCCACGGTGGCGTATTCTGTGAAAACAAATGGTAGCCATTTTCGATTTAAATTTGGATATAATAATAAAGACAACAATGAAAAATAGTCTACCACAGAATTTGTTTGGTACAAACACACGACCTTATGCAAGAGCAGTCTTAAATTTTAAAAGAGTCCCCTGCCCCTATCACGTTACAGTACCTAGGTTTCCCCTAGAAACCTATGCATAATATAATTAAGTTAACATTAAGACCTCGTTGATAAGTTTGTTTGTTTTTAATCAAAATGATTTAATTTTACTTATTGGAATTATTTTGTTCTTCAGTGACTTAAAATATTTGTTTGATATTTTCCTATAATCATAAAGGACATGTGACGAGTGAATTGTTTTTCTTATAAGTTATAACTATTATAATAATGTTAAAAATAATTTAAAAAAGTATAATTTAGGTAGGTACGATATTATCCCGATACAGTCATGGATCAGAAAATGTATAAATTCAGTGCAAATATATAAATACGTACTAAATTAATAACCTAATCAAACGTTGATTAATCAATTATTTATTGTACTATTGTAAACATTTCAAAATTGATTTGCCCAATGAATGATAAGACACGCGCATTGTTTAGTCTCTATGCCGTCAATGTATGTGGACCTTGAGCGACCAAAACAATTTTCTTCGGTGATGCATCAATCGGCCACAGCATAATAACCCTGTATAGTTGATAATTAATTATAAACTGCGATGAAATGCCAGTAGCGATTATTATTTTTGCTGAAATCTCACCATGACAGAATTTTGGGTGATAAATAACCGGTAGTGACCATTGGTGTGTAGGTGGAGGAAATATATGTTGGTTTTAGGTGTCAACAACATTATGCGGGCTTTGATGTGCCAAACTAATTTCACTCCAGCTGTTAATTGGGCGAACATTTTTACTTTGTCATCAAAGGTAAACATAACAATATGGAAGTCCAACACAGAAGTGGTTTTGAAATAGTTATAATATTGTAATGACCCAACAGAAAAGTTTATCCGCAATTGCTGTTGTAACTTTCTTCGGTCGATAAACATTATTTTATGAAATTAACGCCAAACGAACAATTATTTGAAATATCACATAGTAAAATTATATTATTTTACTTGTAAGGACCAAACATCACAACTTTAGAAAACAACACATGGACAATTATATAGCAATATTATTATAAACAAGGTTTTTCACCCAAATAATTTAATCGAGTTTTGAGTTTTGGGTGCTGGATGTATTCAGACGTTCAAACACTATAACTCTGGTTAATATGGTAATGTGGGTGAACACAGGTGCTTATTAGTTATGTTAAAACCAAAGAAAAATTGTGTGATCAGATACATACATAACGTAAGTATATAGGTACCAGAAGAAGAATATTTCTCGGATATCATCAAAATACCCGATAAATTGTTGTACACAATATTACTAATATTATTTTATGTTTGTTACTCACCCAGGAGCGAGGCGAACACCATGACGAAACACGTTCCCAGGTACACGTCGATGGACTTGACGTAGGATATCTTCGGCAGCGCCGCGTTGGTGGACGACATGAGCGTGGTCATGGTCAGCACGGTGGTGACGCCCAACGAGACTCGAGCGGGCGTCGCACACCTGTTCAGCCAAAAACTCACCCAAGATATGATGACGATCAGCCCGCTGGGTATGTATATCTGGATCAGGTAGTAGCCCATGGACCGTACGAATTGGATCTCGCAAGCCAGTCTCGAATAGTTGCCTGCAAGCAATGACGGTTATCATCAATACGCTGCGATGATTATATTATTAAGTACAGGGTGGAACTGATTTCGGCCATAATGGGCCTTCCTCTTTTCGGTCGGTAAACTATTTTGATCATCAGTGTAAGACTTAAACAGATAATAGTACTGATAAAGGCAGAAATGTCATAGAATCATAAAGCTTACAGTAAAAAATAAAATATATAAAATTAATTTTAGTTTTAAATTGTAGAACACTATAACCTATGTATATCACGATATTTTTCTATTTTAATCTTAATCTTTACGTTGCAGTACCTACCTTCATACACTGAGCACAAGTCAAACTCGGGAAAAGTAACTATATCTAACAAATAAATACATACCTACAGCAGAAAATATATATAAAGATGATACGTCATACGTGTACCGCAAACGTCTCTGTCCACAACGGGTGACATACTATGATATAATTTTGATAGTAAATTTATATTAAAATATTACAACAAACATCTTACATTGATTACAAAAATAATAAAATGGTCGAAAACTGTTACCGAAAACGGTCCCACCCCAACTAGGTATATACTTTATACTTGTTTTTATCATTATTTATAATTATAAATCGTTTATCGATCGTCGTACCCGTCGTCAAGCTTATCTCCATTGCTCGCTGACGGTGCCCAAGCACTTTGAATTGCGGCAGTGACACTTCGTTGGACACGCCCACCGAGTTTGGACCCTTGTTCCATTTATACCTGATATCCCTCATCGTGTATCCAACTGAAAACGAAAGGAAAAAGAAAAACCCTCATCAGTCAAAAAAATTAATGTATAAGTTATAAAACATCACACGTTTTTACAATTTATATATATTTTTTTTTTATATATATTGAGACCAATGTATTATTATAATATAACGCCGATTTAAGTGTTAGGTCAACACAGTTTATTGTTTTCGACAACTACTATTCATTTTTATATAATATATAATGCGCATGGCTATTAATATTATTACGACGACGGTTGTAAAAAAAAAATTATCTTACAGCTCTCGATCTCGATGTGGCACAACTGTCGGTCCATCGGGAAGTACTGCAAGTTCATGGGGCACGACGCGGTGATGGTCAAGCTGTGAAAAACAAAAACATGAAAAAAAAATCTGTGGTAAACGGCACGCAATATAGAAATATAATATTAAAAATAATATAACATGCATGTGCTGATAGATGTAATATCGACCGACGTTTCTGTGGATTTTTTTGGGGGGGAAATTGTTTATATACAGAGTGATTCGCCAAACACACTCCCCCTTTAATATTTTAATAATGAATTTTTTTCAAATTCTGTTTTCGGGTTTTGTTGAAAAATATAAACATTAAATACTTTGATTTTTTATACATACTGTTATGAATTAGTGTCAAGTTGTGATACAAACGTTTATATTGGCAAGGCGTTGGTGGTCAAACTCGTAGGGGGGGGGGGTTGTTTCATTTAGTAATAATTTACCATCCCTTCGGATCTGCTTTGGTCGCACAGCAATTATAATAATAATCTACCATAATATTATAGTGGTCGTAACGTTTACCGAATGCTCCGCGTTATGCTCCCTGAATGGTGTATCCGGATGAACTCGTTGCTGGTGGTCGCTATGTGGAAGTAAGACTGTTTCTCATTGACGAAGAACGTGTCGGGCACCCAGATGTTCTTGATGAACTCCGATCCCACGGATAGTGTCTCAACGCCCGGCCGCTTGGTGAACGCCAACCGGGGATCGGTCCAAAACTGTCTGAAGTAAAAGTCCAGCGTGAAGTCCTGCAAAATGCGCGTACAACGACGGTGACAGTGAGTACATGATCGGTATAGGTATAATATGCACGTGATCTATTGTATACGCGTATTGGTATATTATAATGATAATATAATATATATTACTATGATTACAGTCTTGTAAGAGGTGCGCTTTAAAAGTATTCAAGTAAAATGATTAATACGGATACTTTTTTTTTTAATTATCTAAAAAAAGTATTCATAGATACTTTCAAATACTTTAAAATTGTTTCCCATATAATATGTTGTACTTTATAAATTAACTGAAAGAATTTTTTTTTTTTAATTTTGATGTTTTACATTGATTTTGTAGATCATTTTACCCAACTTTTGTACAATAATATGTTACTAGAGTGAGTTGAAAATATAAAAAAATAAACTACAAATAAAAAGTATTTTGAAATTAGTATTTTTTACAAATTTTAAAGTATTTATCAAAGTACTTTTTTCAAAAGTATTTAAGATTCGTACCTATTTGAGTACTGAAAAAGTATTTGACTACTATTGCTCGTGTACCTACTTTACAAGACTGAGTCTATGAAAATGTACGGTCAACTACGATCTACGATCGTCTAAGTCAGTGGCGGACGGACCGGATACGATCAAACGTCCTAGGCGATCGCGAATAGGGTTCTGAAACAGCTGATCGACAAACGGACTAGCGTGACTACTAATGGACTTTGGGTATTCGGACTCGCAGTCGATACGTCACTAACGACGGAGCTTAGTATATTATGTTTTCAGCGAGATCATCAGTTGTAGTTTGTCAAGTATTAAGTGTCGGCGAGTTCTTAAAACGACAAGACATTCGTCGTTGAATTTGTACATAATTTAGTCGGCGTGTACTCGAAGTGTATGAATTGATTTTTTTTTTCAATAATTTGCTTCCGTTCAACAGGCGTTCCGAAGGAAAAGTAAAATCATTTTTTTCAAAGTCAAATCTTAAGCGGAAAGTTCACCAGGACGTTTGAATGTATCCGATCTCGAAAATATAGTATTTATTTTTACCATAATATCTATGTCTATATTATGTATATATTATATATTATTATGGGTCGCGTTATACGATGAATGATAATGATAAGTAACTAATACTTCCGTTCGTAATAATATTATATTATTGTTATACTATATAAGTGTACAAATATTACTGTGAGATTCAAGTATAATAATAATAATAATTATAGTAATGATAACAATGATAACAATGTAAAATACAGGTATAGACTAGATGGGTAGTACATGCAACAGGGCTAAGGTTAAACGCACACGCTAAGGTCTTTCGTAGATACATCGTACGTTATTCGTGTATGTATATATGCATATTATGCGTGGTGATTCTCTCGTTGTGTTCGAAGGAGTATATCTTAGCATACGAAGAATTTTTTTATCAAATAATTTATTCAATAAACGTCTAAGGATACAAAGTTATACAATTCGTCGTTTTTCTTCGTTTATCGATATTATTATTTTTCTTGTCATTGAATTCTTAAGTATAAAAATTCCTCGTATTATATTCCAAGAAATAAAAACCACAAAAGAATCACCTCAATTATAGTAATATAATACATAATACACCTGCTGCGGATTGAAACAGTTTTAGAGTTTTTCGTATTTATTTTTTTTCGGCATCATGCTTTGACGCGAAAAACCGTGGCGTGTATTAATATTGCAATCTACGTCATGCATCAAAACATGCGATATCATCATATTTAATAATAATATACATAGGTAGTTTTACTGTGTATCGTTATATTGTCTGCTATTCCACATAAATTAAACAAATCGAATATTATAATATTAATTTCCCCTATATCATATTATACGAACGTTCGGTATAATATAATTTATTATACATTTTTTTATTTTATTTTTTTCCTTAAATTTCGTAAGTAACCACGACTATAGGTTAGTTCGGGGGGAGGTGGGGGATGGTTTGACCTCTTTTCGACCCGGACATAGTTGCCCGCCTGGAGAGAGTTGATGTCGACCGGGTTTGAACCTTTGCGAACCACTATGTGTCCATTACAACAATCATCTTGCACAGATGACATACGAAAATAGGTTTTTGAGTTTTTCACTTTAGTATCTAGTATCTACAGTTGCTGTTAAGGCCAATTATCGACAGGCGATTAAAATTTTTAAAATTCCTATATTCACAATACTCAAATAACGTTTTTTGTTCTGCTTAACAACGCTAAATGATCCTCAAATTTTACTCTGGAAACTTGGAAACAAGCTGCGTAAACAAGCACGCAGAATGCAGATATTATGATAAATAATGTATTAAATTCTGATTCACAGCTAGAATTGGTCAGACCCAACTCTGGAAATTTACCCGTGGATCATGGTAATTATTGAACGACACCATGATCAGAAATGAGTATTGTGACATGGCAGATGATGTAACCGCAGTGAACCGGGAACAAAACTACTTGATACAAGCGCATACCTGATTTCGTTTGATAAAATATAACATCGTCTATCATTGGTCGATTATTACCGTCACGCATTTTAATACCAAGTCTGTAGATTGCGAATAACATAATTTACGTAAATCTACAACGTTTATCCGATTGCCGATTTATATCGCCACCTCGTGTACAGACATATCAGTAACATTAAAATAATATATAATTATATTGTGCCTACATTCAATTGTGCGCCCTGTTTTAGTCATATAAATCAAATATATACGACGAGGATAATGTAATATTTGATTTTTAACACGAGGTGGTTATAGGTACTGCAACAACCAACAGCGGACTAAATACTTAACAACGACGACACGACTAGAAAAATTGGTTTTCAGATCAGTTTCGATGACTACCAACATTTATTCATTTTAAATTGAACAATAGTCTCCTCTATCAGACGTATAACAAGAATACATGAACTTAACTTTTTATATTCTAATATTACGAGTAACTTGGTCTTCGTTGGGGTTGAATGTTTAACACTATTTTAAACAAATACTTATTATGATTTATTGAAAATTGTTTTATGTTTTTTGTGTTCACTTTTTAAACTTAAAAGTACTTTACAGTTAGTTAGTTTCCCTTTTCGTCGGGTACAAATTGGACCAAATAGATAGGTATTTAAATTTGTTTTTATAAACCAGTTTTTACTATAGTAAATGGTATATCTTAAACACCACCATAATGACGTGATGTCTACTGTAAAAGTGATGTAGACTTGAATCGAAGTCTATATTGCGGTGGTAAAAAAAAAGTAAAATAAAAAACCAAAAACAGTCGTGTTTATATTGAATGCGACAACGGAAGAATTATTAAAAGATTACTTTTCCTGTATGTCGTAAATGCGACGAGATAATACGAAAGATAATCCGGCATTAAAGAGTTAAAAGTAAAAATGTAGTTAAATAATTAAATTAAATAATGAGTTACATTTTAAAAATGTATTTATAACCTATAATTATTTTTTTCCCGTTATTTCCGGTAACTAATCAATTAATTAATTTTATTGTCATGTTAAGTTACTTTTTTCTTCAAATATAAACATCATAAATTAAAAATATATTAGATAATATGTTTAGTAAAAATTATAGTTTTTCTAATAAGAATAAAAATGTATTATTATTTACAGTGATATTGCATTCCATAGAAAAATATAATCTCATCCAAGCACATTTATATTAAATCTTTCAACAGTAATACTACTGCAGTATTACTGTAGGTACCTCAGTTCTTAGTTTAAAGTGCTCACTTAAAAAATTAACTTAAATAGGTAATAAAATGTATGACTAGGTACGGTTAGTATGGTTTATCTTTCTGTTATCTTTTACTATATATTTTTATTTGTGTGTATAATGTTCTTTGCGTTGGCATTGATTTTATGTTATTCAAATAAAATTTGACGGATCTTTCACCAAGTAAAGTTAAATTTTTTTCTACCCGACTTGTAATTTTATCACTTATAAAACAAAACAAAAAAAGTAACTTTTACTTTAAACTAAACTTAAAGTGTATTTTTCTGTTCTAACTCAACTCAGATGAGTAGTTATTCAAATATTGGTTAACTTGTCCAGAGCTGCTGATACATATAGGTAGGTTAAACCTACCTAATGCGGACGACTTATAACATTATGCTGCTCGGGATTTTTGTTTGTTGACGGTTTTTTATGAACTCGTGCAATGTACAGTATTAAGGAGTTTGGCGTGAAACCAACACGAAACGTAAATATTATATAATATTATACAAACGCAAAAGTCGGTGTACATTACACGCACGCATTATATAAAACAACTCGAGTGAAGGGTGTTTGTGTTTTTTGACACTCGGTCGTCGGTGGAGCGTTTATTCGGTGTGCAAACACGACCTTGAACCGGGGGTTAAGGGTGGAGGGTAAAAATATTAATAACGGAAAGAAACATCACTCACGAGCGTCTCTTTACTCTATAATATTATACACACGATAGACGTCATAATATCGTGTAACATATTATACCTCTCTCGTTCCCATCGAGTCGACGACGAAATTTGATCGACACGTTTACCGTACGACCCGTTTTACAGCGACATACCTTCATATCATAATAATAGGTAGGTGATGTATAAATAGCAAAGCGTTGCACTAAAGTACACCTGAGAGGCCTTCGACGAGCGGAGATATCGGTTGGGTCTTCGTGTAGGGCCAAAAATTGTGTTCGAGAATTGCGACGTGCACGATGTTATTATTGTAAATAAAAAATTATAATATTATTATTACGATGCGTATCGTTATTGGATCCATAAAAGAGCCGTTACGTGTACATAATGTACCTATATACGCTCTGCTGCGGTGTGTGATGTGCTCGCAGATAATAAATACGAAGCGCGCCGTTGGTGACTGTGTATAATAATAATATAATGTATAAATCACGTCGTAATGCAATTTTATTATTATTATCGTATAATAATGTGTGTTGTTATGCATTGTGTCTTAGGCGCCGCGAGTTCGGTCTCGCCCGATACTTCCGCGCGGT